GTACGCCCAGGCCCCCTCCAGGATCCTTGCGAGAGTAAAAAGCTGATCCGTCGTTCCACGACCAGGACGGAATCCGCATTGTTCCTCCTCAATCTGAGGTTCGACAATCGGCCTACCTTTAAATCTTAAACCCATCACCAAAAATACAAACACAAAACTTGAACTAACACTTGACTGACAGATATTTAAATAAACACCAAACACACAAAATCAAGTTACAGATGAAGCTTGTCAGGGAACATTTAGTAAAAAGGTGTCTTTGTATTCATAATGGATGAAGCACAAAATACATATTACACAAATATGCGAATAAATCTTAAATGTTTGTGGTCAGGAATAACATATTGGTTGGCTTAAACTGTAAATCAATGGTAAACAATCTTAACTTTACTGCAAAACGGTGAACACGAAGATATGAAACTACAAACCACCACGAGCAGCAGCAAATGATCGCCACCAGTGTTTAAACACCCAAACAGGAAATATCAGAATGGCTCAGTTGTGTGGTGGTGTTACATTTATCGTCAGTCCAGTCAGAGAGAAAAGAAAGACAATAGAGATATGAACTCTATCAACAACACATTCAAACACTAGAGTAAAAGCAGCAGCTTTGTTAACATCTGTTTACCTGTAGAGGGCAGTGTTGCACCATCAAAGGAGACTATTATTGGACACTACTGCAAGAAAATATCACATAACATGTATTTTCCCTCTCTTTTAGTTCATAATAATATCATTTATAAAAGGGGCTGATAGTATATTTGTTCTTACTAGGGTTGAATGCTTAATTTTTTAATGGTTAATGTTGTATACTATGCTAGAAAACAACGTTTTATTTGCTTTTTATGAAGACATTTGAAAGGAACTTGATACTACTTATGGTTCATTTGTTAATAAGCTCCTGTTAGTAAACTATTAGTGACTGGTTGTTACTCCATTACAATTCTAAATCAAGATGGCATTTTATTTAGCGTTATGTTTTACCTTTGTATCAACAGATATGTGTGTAAACTGTGTCACTTGAATGTGCTGTAATACTATAGCAACTAGGTACAGATAAAAACAATTAGTCATCATTTCAGTAACTAATCAAGGAACTCTGAAGATTTGATTAATAAATACTGTGCAGCGAGTATGGTGAAATCAACAAATTGTCAGGAAGTGAAGTGCAACTGAATGCTTTACAAACAGGTTCTCATCGTTTATTCACCAGATGGACCGGAAGCGGTGTTTTTTTTAACTTTGTTGAGCACACTTACCCGAATGAGGAAGTTTAGTGCCTCCCACTGCGTGTGTTCACATGCTGCGACTGCACCGCGACGAGAAGACCTCCGATGGACGTCTACCAAGAGGCTGTGGGATATCTCAAGTCACAGCATGTACCAGGTGAGACAGGAAGGCGTGTTTTATCAGAAATAGTTCATTTATAATGCATTATACCTTCTGTTTTAACGACAACACTGAAATAACCCAACCCCGAAATGTATTCATGTACTCATTATTTGTTGAGAATGCATGTGTCTACAGCACAATCTCATCATTGATCTTTTAAGGAACAACTTCACGAAGAGGGGAAGCAGATAAGGGAACTTACTAAATATGCATCCCACATGCTACATTACTTGTTATGCATTGTGTGTGTTTGTGTGTCAGCTGTAGTCCAAACGGAGACTGAGGTCATGGAGGAGGATGTGTTCCAGGAGGAAGCCGATTCCTGTCCTTTCTCTCCTCTTCATCCCGAGAGCGTAGACTTCCCCGACACCCCGGTACGTTTTTATGTTTGAAGATTCAAAACCTTTTTATTATTTGTACAGGTTGTCCGTCCTATTATTCTGAACGTGATATCTTCGTCCGAGGTATTTCTTAATATTTGGCACAATCTTTTGTTACGTAGACAAGATTCAAGATCATTTTTACCTCACAAAACTCAAGAATGAATATGCACATTTTGGATTTTGCACACAATGTCTTGAATGAAGTGATTGACTTTTTCAGTACAAACAAATGTAAACTCGCGACAACTTTGAGCTGCTTATTATAGTTTGTTTTTATTGTACCAGTTGTTAAGGAAGGGGAAAACATGAGGTTTAAGTGGGGGAAGACTTTATGTACATTTCATTACCGTATTTGTTAATACAAAAACAATACGTGAATTCATGTTTGCCTCCACGTCCAACTGACTTCAGACCTCTGTCCCTATCAGAAAATGTATTTAAAAAATCCGGGAAGTGAAAACAATAATCATTAAATGTTATCGTTGTGTTTTGTTGGATTTACTTCCTTTTTCCAAACCTCAGTTTGTAGAAAAGTATTGAAGAAGTAACCTGTTAACTTAGAGAAATTTGAGTTTTATTACACCGAACAAAAGGCATATTTCCTGTTTTATGACTATCAATTATTTATCTGATTCAGCCTAATTGTATTTACTTGTATTTCAAATGTCCCAACACTGACTTTGGTAATATTTGTTGGATGCCTGTGATTCCAGACGTTATCCAGCCCCGAGGAAATGCTAGAGAAGAGGCTCATGGTCCTGAAATGCATCATGGAGAGTGAGGAGGTTTATCTCAGAGAGCTGGAGGCCCTGCTGATGGTAACAAACACATTCAAATAATTATCTTATTTTAGCATCAAAACATGCTGTCAACTCACGCTATTCTCGGGTCTATTCTATTTTGCAAAAAAGTGGAATAACCCCGTTTAAAATTACAGTTAAACTTCCCCTTTGTTATTCTGCTGTCAGCAAATAAAATAAAACAACTCTTTATATCATATAGCCTGCAGGAGAATCAGCAAATCACTTTTATTTTGAGTCCAATTTGACATTACATGAACGTAAGGTTGGTTTGTTTTCTGTATGTATACTGTATCTGAGTATGAGCTGCTGTAGGGTGCGGTTAGCATTGTGTCATACAACATTATGAGTGTCCTGACTGTTAGCTTCCTTGTTTAACAACACTTTGTTCTCCACCAGAGACGAGGTTCCCCTTTTATTTCTCTTAAAAGATTGATACCCCTCTCATGCATAAAGTTAATATGAAGCTACGGCTAGCAGGTGGCTAGCTTAGATAACAACATGCTTACTGTAGCTTATGAACACATTTGAGAGAAGTATCAATTATCTAATTTAAAGGTCCCCTATTATACTGTTTTTCATCAATATATTATAGGTCTCAGATACATACAAAACATGTCTCTGAAAGTGTTTGTCTCCAAACACCAAACAGATCATTGTAGCATCCCATAATCCCGTCTGTTTCAGCCCTGTTTAAAAAGTGCTGATTCTGTGTCTGTTAAAAATAAGGAGCCCCTCCCCACGCTCCTCTGAGAGATATTTGGTTAAAATGAACCCAATGGTGCTCTAGGAGGAGATTCAGGTGATAAGGGGGGGGGGGGGGGTTACCTTGGTTGGTGATTGGCTAATGGTTACACAAGCCAAAACATCATTATGACATCATAAAGTGGCCAAAATCTGATCAGCTCATTTTCAGACAGGTTTTTATAGAAATGGACCAGGACAGAAAGAGAGAGAATCTTTTTTCCTGAAACTTTCAGAATCTCTTTCCACAGAGGGGACACATGTTGATGTAGAAGAGACATGGACAAGTGGATTTAGCATAATAGGTGAGCTTTAACTTCTGCAAGAAGCAGGACGTGATGGTGCAAGAGCAAATACACCACATTTCTTCTTTTTGTCTGCTATTTAAAGCGACTGCCTGTCTGCATTCTTACACAACGTGACTCATTTGACCAAAAAAAACGTGCTCAGAGTTGTGGGTGTGTATATTTCTTACAACATAATGTGTGTGTGTTTGCTGTTATTCAGCAGTGCTAAAGTTGAGAGGCTGCTCAAACGCACCTAAATGAAGCTTTGGGGGCTGAACTCTTGATATATGTTCACACTTTGCATCTCTGCTTGTACGGCTCAATCATTCCCCTTCTTTTTATTTCCCTGCAGCCCATGAAGGCCCTGCGCGCCTCAGCCGGGACGTCCAAGCCGGTTCTGTCCAGTCAGCAGGTCCAGACTGTGTTCTACCAGGTGCCTGAGATCAGTGACATGCACCAGAGCTTCTTCTCGGGCCTGAAGGAGCGTCTGAGCGCACACTGCCGCTCTGAGCCCGGCCCCGGGGAGGACGGGCACATGAGCTACACCGGCTTCGAGCTGGTGGTGGGGGACCTGTTCCTGAAAATGGTGAGGAGTCGTCTATTGTGTCACGAATAAAAAGTAGTAAGTTACCTAAGAAATAAAAAGGCTACAACTGGTTTCCTTTGTTGGTTGGGTTATGTTTAGACATGAGTCGTGGGTATAATTAGGATAGGAATCCAATTAGAGAGAGGGTTAGGGTTAAGGTCATGCTATCAGGAAGTCCGAGAGCAGTAATGTGCCTTCTCAACAATGGCTGTTTGTTTCAAGAAAAATGACTGTCAAAAAAATATCGTTTATTTAGCAGGGACAATGCACATTAATGAACACTTCAAACAAAACAAATGCAAATAGTGTAAATATGCCGGATTTGAGCTTGGAGTTAATTTCCATCCGCAGTCCCTCACATAAAACATTTAAGAACATGACAATTATACACGTAGCAAAAACAAATACATGATATGCAAAAGGTGCAAAAGAGCAAGAGCATGCATACACGTGGCAATACAATCTAGCAGCAACGACATATAAAGTGCAAGATAAGATACCCCTGTGTTAAAGTGCATTTAGCGGTGATTGCACGGATGTTTGTTTCTCAACCATTCTTTGAGTTGACCTTTAAAACTATTGAGAGTGGGACAATCCCGTATCTCAGTTGGGAGGCTATTCCACGATTTTGTCCAAAAGTGGTCCGTCTACGGTGGACCTCACAGTCTCCTCTGGTTTCTGACCTAGTGCAGCGTCCAGTGTGTTTTTTGTGGATGAATTCCCCGAATAAATGTGATTTATTTATAAATAAAGCACATACTTTTAAAAGACTTAAAATGGTCAAAACTCAAGAAATTGAGTTTTTCAAGGATGTAACAGTGGAGGTATGACTTTGCAGCATTGACAGTTAAGAAGGGTCTAATTTGTTTAAAATGTTGCAAGTTGAATTTAACGGTATTGGATACTTTCTTAATATGTTTCTTAAAAGTCAAGTTCGAGTCCAGTATGACTCCAAGATACTTGAAGTGGGAGACTAGTTCTATTTCTGCTCCATTTAAAACACGTTGGATCCTTCGATTTTGACTGGTCCTTTACTGAACATCATGCAAACTGTTTTTTTTTACGTTTAACTGTAAGTCATTGTCATTGTTTTGGTTAAAACACTTTCTGTTGCTCCAAGTGGCTAAACAGTCAATCAATACTGCTCCCATTAAATCCCAAAAATAATATCCAGTTTTTTTTCTTGCTGTCAATGATTTACAGTTAATATTATTTAATTTAATTTTAATACAGTTTTTAGTATTCACACATCCATATAACCTTTTTGGATTGTGTTCATTTTTACAAGAACAAAATGGTATGTATTGTTTTAATAAGAATAAAACCAAACCAACATTTAAAAAAACATACATGTTTGCCTGCCTTAGCACAGCTGTAACTAATGACGCTAACGAGGGCTCCACAGTGAAGCCTGTCAGAGAGCCAGCCGTGTGCAGCCCTCCTTAGTGCGATCTGTTCCACCTGTGTCTCTCCTGCTTTGGGGAGGGCCAGTGTACACACCTGTTAACCTGGCCTCACCTTGATCAAAGCCTGTAAAACACCTGTGCTTGCATACTGTCCTTGATAGTTCTCTAAATGAGGGTGTGTGACAATGTGTGTGTTTGTCAAGCGGCTTAAATCAGAGCTCATTATCAGGCACTTGTTGCTATGCTAACCTCTCTTATTATGAACGCTACTGAGGCTGATAGTAACATTATTGGAGCTAAGATGAAAGCAATGAATGAATACAGATGACCAGAAAACAAACCTGTGTTTTGAATCTGGTCTGAATGAGTTTGAAAACACTGGAATCAGAGTCCCAATCCATGCAGACTCAGCATGACTCATGATCTGAAGTGTCCACAAACGATGTGTAACACCAAAAACAAAAGGGAAATATTGCAAATATTTGCGCTTGGCTGAGGGCGAAGTATTTGACGTCTTTATATTCTGGAAGACAATATTAGAACAATGATTTGCATTTTGAACATTAGATCAAAAACGATGTTTTAGAAACCCACATGTTAATGGTGTTTCCCCCCCCCCCCCCCCTCCTCCACTCATCTATCTGATATTCTGCGTCTGCAGGTTAACCAGCTTGGTCTGTACGGTGGTTTCATTGGAAACTATGAGGAAGCTGTTCAAGTCGTTCGCAAGTGCACACAGTCGGACCCTTGCTTCCGGACCCTGGCCCAGGTACCACAAACCTCCAGAGGAGCACGTACTGGGACATGTTAAAACGTATCCTAACCTCACCTTTTCTTCCGTCTCTCCAGAGCATGATGTCCAACATCGGCTCAGACAAAACTCGTACCAAATACACATTTGAAGGTACAGAATCTAAATGTGTGGATTTTGTATGGCTTATTGGCGGACACGGTGTCTGATTGCTGTTTTTGTCATTGCAGCGCTACTTTACAAGCCTTTGGACAGAGTCACCAAGACCACACTTGTGCTGCTTGTGAGATAATCATTCATTCCCAAACCTCCCATAGCTTCTACTGTTCTGATTATGCTCATCTTTCCAACCAACTCCAGTACCAGGAAATAGCCTTATCCTATCTTTTCCCCACACTTTCTGACTCGGCATCCTCTCTGTGATCCTGTAGGACCTCCTGAAGACGACTCCAGAAACCCACCAAGACTTCGCACTGTTACAGGAAGCTCTCAGATTGTCCCGCAGCTTCCTGTCTGGTGTCAACGAGAGTTCACAGAGCAAACGAGGGGTCACGCTCAGTCACGGCATGGTGGGGCATACACTGGGCAAAATCTGGGCAAGATGGTTATGAAAAAGTTGTTGATACTTTACCCCAGAACATGTTGTGTTTGTGTGTGACTCAACAGAGACGTAAGCTGATGCGTGACGGCTTTGTGGTGGACGCGAGTGAGGGGGAACGCCACATGCGTCACCTCTTCCTCTACACCGACCTCCTGCTGTGCACCAGATTCAAACATGCAACCAGAGGGTGAGCTAGGGCTGCTCGATTATGGCAAAAATCATAATCTCGATTATTTGGGTCAATAATTGATATCACGATTATTAAAAACGATTATCCATTTACTTTGATAACTTGATAATATCAATTTATTGGAGAAATTTTTTTTGAACAGTATGTTTTTAACAGTTGATTACCCTGAACTTTAAGGATAATTCAACTGAAAAACCAATAAAAAAAAATGAAAAATAAAAAAATGTAATAATAATAATACAAAAATAATCATTTTATTTCGATTACGTTGTTTTCGTCATCGTTGCAAGCCATAATCGTAATTGCGATTAAAATACGATTAATTGAGCAGCCCTAGGGTGAGCGCAGAAAGAGAAACCGTTCGGGTCATAACGATTTTTTGCCTCTTGTAACCATTAGCCAATCACCAACCAAGGTAAC